CCTCTCTTGAGTCGCTTATAATCTAAATACATTAATATTTTAGGACCTGTAGCACTTGAAAACTTATAGATATCTAATGCTTTAAATATTTGTGTAGAATAATTTGCAATCTGTTATAATCACAGATTTTTCCCTGCAGATAAGACTATGAGGCTGAAACTACTCATGTTTGATAGAGGAATCTAATTCTTACTTTATCAGCAATTAGATTTATCCAAGCCCATGAGAAAGCAGAAGAAGGAGATGGATGAGAGGCAGGAGAGAGAAATGGGGAATGAGAAAAAGAAAGAGGAGAAAGGAGAAAAAATGTGCAACAACAACCATTTAACAGCAACTTAAGTAGATGTGAGATCCTTGAGAATGGGTACTTTTGTCTTCCTTTCTTTGAATTGCTATTACCTTGAGCAAGGCCAGATACAATGCTGTGAAGAATGCATGCTTGCTAAACTAACTTGCTAAATCAATAAAGGATATGTTTTGAAGTTTATTAGAGTTGAAAATTACCTTGAAATAATTTCAAATAAAAGGTGCTATTGTCTGTGGGATAAAAGAAAATATTATCATAATACTGAGAAAGATTTAGTTGACTTGTAGATTGTAGATTTAGGATAGTCATGCTAATAAACCTATAATTCCTTAAATGTTATGCAAACTTTAATGTTTATATGTATATATCATATTTCTGAGGCAAAATTACACGCAAGAATGACATTGTTGGGTCTGGCCAGTGTGTCTCAGTGACCTATGAACCAGGGGGTCAGGGTTCAATTCCAGTTCAATGCCTTGGTTTCGGGCTCAATCCAAATTGGGGAAGCATGCAGGAGGCATGATTCTCTCTCATCTGTGATGGTTCTATCTCTCTCTCCCTCTCCCTTCCTCTATGAAATCGATATGTATAAAGAATGACATAGCTGATAAATTTAAATTTCTGTGGTTTGTGAATGTCAAGATAAGAAAAGTTCTCCCCTCTCTGTCTTACTCTCCTCCCTTCCACTGTCCTTCCTGTCTTCTTTCTTTCCTTCGAATGCACAATTAATGATGGACTATGTGCCAGAAAGTGTGCTGTGCCTGGCCCTGGACCCTCTATTACAACACTTGCTGTAATCATCTGGTTATTTATGATCCTTTCATTCCCTCAGAAATTTGAGTCTATCTCTGCTTTTTAAAAAATATATATTTATTTTTTAACTAAATTTAATAAATAATTATGAGATTTAAGGTGAAAAGATAAGCAAGGGTGAAAAGACAGCATGGTCTCTGACCTCATGTAGCTTATGTTTTTGATTGATGGGAGAGCCATTTAAACAAAAATATGTATAAAGAAGTTACAAATTGTGCTTGTTGCAATTTGGTGAAGTAATTCTACCCTTAGTAATAGGAAATATATTAATTGATTAGACTTAAAGGAAAAATTAAAGGACTAAATTCATTTCTTTGTCATTTTTTTCATATAAATAGTTGGAGATTTTTTAAAAAGAAAAGCTAATTTTTTTTGGTTTGTTTTTTACCCTAAGCAGATTTCACAAAATAAGTATGGACATAAAATCTTACACAAGCAATCCTAACATAGAGAATATGGTACACAAATCTTTGAACACAATATAAGACAATTATGGGAATGTAGAGAAGTTTAACCAAAGTGCTATGAAACTATAGAAGGAAAGATCTATTCCAATAAAAGGAATAACTTGTAAACAAGTACATGTTAATGGGAAACAATAATTAGTACAAGGGATAGAGCAACAGGCGAGGCTGAGGTTTGATGCCATAGTAGACTAACCTTGAACTAGGAATATCAGAGAAAGATGTTGCAATTCAGTTGCCAAAAATTTGAGTCTACATCTTACTTTTCTCAATAACACATTTTAAACAGAAATTTAAATCAATCACTTAATTCATTGTGTGTTTCTACATTGATTGGCATCATATACATTATTTTATGATGGCAATATAAGTACAAAGAATGAAATTCTTTCTAAGAGAAATGTGTTAGAATTTTTTGAAAGATTCATGACAACTAGAATTTTCTAAGACCTATTTTAGTAAAAATAAAGGACATACATTTTGGAAAAATATTTTACATCTTTCCTGATATACAAGTAAATCTTAGACATATGCTCATAAAGAAGGAGTATTGAGAAAAATTTTCTATGGTCTCTTTTTGTATTACTACTGTTTAAGGGAAAAGACATGAAAACCCAATTGCTGTACATGACATTTTCTTTTGTAATAGCTGAGAATATTAATGAATTTGTCCAAGGTGACTGAATTTTATTAGCTAGTTATTTACAAGTTAAATACCCTAGACATTTAGTCCCTTGTTGACATGTTATTATCAATTTTCCTTTTTCTTTTCTGTCAGGTTTATTACTGACAGTTAAAACAATGCATGTAAAACTAATAGGCTCATAGTTATTTGATTTCAAAATGTTCATTTTGTTCTCCAAATTGAAAATTGACATAATCTTTAATGGGATACTTTTCTTATTTTCCTTTTCTTTTAATTTTTTTCTATGACCATAGCAATATTGATATTGCTGTATCACATATGTTGAGCTTCTGTTCTGAATTACGTGTATTTTGGCAGTGCCAATTTTCACACGTATGTAATATATTTCTTATAGATCCCAATCCTTTTCTATAAAATTCTTATTCTTCCTAAAGATACAATGCTAATATTCTGCTACTGGGTCTACTTTTGAAAGAAAATTGAGCATAAGCTATTTAACAAAATAACAAGAAAGGAGGAAGGAACAAGACAACACAATATGTATTACTTTCAACAATAAAGAATTTAAATTTTAAAAAAAATATATCCTCAGGTGAGGATTAAAGGAAGATAATAAAATAAAATAAAAAACAATGAATTTGGGCACAAGTTCTGGTAACTATGATAGCATTTCAACATATATTGTTTTCAAATAAAAATCAAATATAAGAAAAGACTGTTTTCATAATCTTTATTTAAGGTTCAAACTAACGTGTTTCTATCCTTATCTTTAGCCTTATCAATGGGTACTCCATTCCCTGAACTGATTTATTGAAGATCCCAAAACAGAACTGATCCATTAAGATGATACTTTTAATTACCATTCTATCAAACAGATGGAATTCCCTGTTTTCTTCCTCTGGACCAGTGGTTCTTAACTTTCTGGCCCTTTAAATACAGTTCCTCATGTTGTGACCCAACCATAAAATTATTTTTGTTGCTACTTCATAACTGTAATGTTGCTACTGTTATGAATCGTAATGTAAATATCTTATATGCAGGATGGTCTTAGGCAACCCCTGTGAAAGGGTCGTTCTACGGCCAAAGGGGTCGTGACTCACCGGTTGAGAACCGCTGCTCTAGACTCACTATATCTATTCTTCAAAACTAGTAATCCATTACTGATTCTTTTTTTTATTGCTTAAAGTATTACAAAGGGTATTACATATGTCTCCTCCCCCCCCACACACACACACCCTGACAATCCCCTGGCCTCCCCTAGGATTCA